AGAGGATTGGTACCATGCCCAGAAGCGTTTTACCTGCGAAGTGGGCATGAAACGTATACTTTGGTTTGTGTTCGAAAGTTTGTGTATTTTTGGTAGGATTCGTAGTCGGATGAACGTAGTCGGATGCACAACGGAGGAGGCGATTTTCTACGAATTGATCCGTGCTTTGGAAAGAAAATGAAGAGGAGTTCCACAGACAGGTTTGACTCGATGGATTGTTTAAGGCTTTCAGTTGTGCGAGGGACATAAGTACTTTGCGGGTGTCTTTGTGGCTAAGTGCTGAGAAAGGATGTACCAGCAAAAGAGCGTTTTGCAGAGAAGAATGAAGGCGACGGGACAAGACTTTATGGGTTCAGGAACTTTTGCATGATCGACTTCTTGTTTTTGTCATGGAGGAGTGGGATCCACGTTTTGGTCGTAAATGGAATTGTGATCATTTGTGGGATCATTACGATGCATACGAGCAGGGGGGCTGTTAGATATACTCGTAGCATAGTAATGTGGTTGAATATGGGACATGGATCTACGGAGATTGCAGTTGGTAGATCGCGGAGGAACAGGGAGTTTCTGCTTGGTTTCTTCGGAGATTCGATGAGTGATCTGAATTGCGTGACGGNAGCTTTATAGACACCCACACGCAGCTTGGGAGCGCTGCTACAAGTTCAACGGAACGGATCAAGACCTGTTCGCGTGCCCTCAGTCCCCTGGGAAGAAGGCCTGCTACATCCCGGCGGGCGTCCTGCCGTTCCCGAAGCTCGAGGAGAATTGGCGCAGCAACAACGTTTCCTACGGCGTTTTGGTGCAGCCGTCGTTTCTGGGAGTGGACAATAACTACCTCGTGCGACAGCTGCGCGAACACCCGTGGCTTCAGGGGGTCATCGGCGTCACGAACGCGGACGGGACGCTGGACTCCGACGCGGTCAGCCCGCCGTTGCTCGAGGACATGCACAGGGTCGGCGTGCGCGGTGTCCGCCTGAACCTTACTAAGAAGTCCGAGGAGGAGGACATCACGCGCCTCAACGCCGCAAACGGGAGCTGACGGTTTCGTGAATCTGTGGGCGTTTATTAAGGAGCACGGCTGGCATATCGAGGCGCAGCAGGAGAGCGACGGTTGGGTCGACCTAATCGAAACCCTTGTCGGCAAACGAAAAAGATTTGTAACAACAGGATTCGGTCCGTTTGTGGCTCGTAATTGAAAATATCTCGGCTGTGCCCCAACTTTGGGCGGAAAATTTACGTCGAGGTTTGGGGTGAACGAGAGTTTTCGGGGAAAAAATGAAGATAACGACGTGAGCACTACTTTGTCATCGCACACGCATGCATGTGTATGTCAGCCACCATGCCGCCACAACAACCAACCGCGTTCTGGGCAGGTCTCGCACACTCTTGGTTTGTTACTCAGAAACCGCGTCTGTCTCCAGAAAGAGATTCTCTTTTGCATGCATATGGTCAGTCTGGGACAATTTAGACTATCCATTATTATTATTATTATTATTTTGTTTGCCCTCCGACAATTGCAGATAAAAGCAGACATACATAAAAAGTCGATCGTCAAGGCCGTCATGCCAAGCCAAATTAACTCGATGCCCAATAGCTAGGAATGTTTGCCTCTAAGTCAACAAAACTTTGGTCGAAACACTACAACAGCTGAACTCTAGGCACGAACCTTCGAGAAAAACGAACAAAACCCCAACCTCATCCACCCGAAATCAAACAAAACTCGGCCCCGTCTTCCCTGGTACCCCTGACACCGTATTGAACATAAATCCGCTTTCCACCGAAGTGGTTAGGTTAAAGCTGTCGCACGCATATTTCGGCGCGCAAAAGTCTGTGCGGCATTGTTGATCGATATTGCCACCGGTCTTTGAAAGTTTCGCGATATCTTTCGAAGGAAGTCGATTCAGGAGGAATACAAGCCATCTTCCTTGGTGACCCCCATAACAAGGCGAGAAACATGTGAACAAAAAAAAATGACAGCCCCACACTAATCTTAAGTAAATTATGAGCTACCCCTCCGAAATAAATGTTGAAGACTGGGAGAAAATCAGGGTTTTAGACAAAAACCCGAATATCTCGCGAACCAGATTTTTATTTGAAATTTGGAAAAAAAATACTCCTGGGGAATGAATGTCGAGAGGAATCGATTGCCGTGCGTGGTCTTTTTCAATTTCTTTGGTCGAATATCGGTGGGAAAAAGCGAACAAAATGCCCTCTGAATTCCGGTTTTTGGCAGATAACTTCTTTGATTTACACTCAATTCAAAATCGGAAAAGTTGTACCCCTGGGGAATTTCGAGAGCTGTCCATATCCGGTCTTAAAAAAATGTCGTCTGAATAAAACACACCCCAGGAGAAGGCGAAGAAGATATTTCGGTTATTCCAAAATGAAAGACGGACCAAAAACAGAACTAAAAATGGGACCTGCGCCTGGAGACAGCGCGTTTGCCGGTACTTTTGGTTTTCGGAACAACCACCTGTGTGCAGAGGAACAATTCCCTAAGCGTAGCTCGGAATTGTGGAGAAACTGTCCCAGACTGACCATAGACTACCACCACAGAGTACATCGATGGTGGAGATGGTTTCAGTGGAGATGATTTCAATGGAGATGGTTTCACCCCTCCCTCTCGCACGCGTTCATGTATGTACTGCTGTGGCAGCGTCGGTAGTACTTGGAGGGACATTGGCGCGTCTCGTGCGGTAGAACAAGGGTTTACTTGCCCTTGCACGGACACATACATACGCGGCTGACCTGCCGCTAATTGCTGCTGCTGTTGGTGCAGCATGTGGTTGAGCGAGAGCGACTTTCGTTCCCATCCGGCTGTATGTAACAGGTTGGCGATCATCATCCCGTAAACCCACGCCCCAAACTCTCAGACCCCCACACCGCGAAGGGCGCCATCTCCCTCCTCTCTTTCTACTCTCCCTCACGGTGTAGTCTGCGGTTGTTTGTGTACCCGTAAGTTTGCCGTGGTAAGCGGGTTTATATGCATAGGATTTACGATGATTGATTGTGGCCCTGTTTGTTCGAGAGAATTTTTTGTTATGGAAAAACAGATCAGCGCCAGTCCGTCACAAGGGACGTGAACAAACCACAACAAGGCCACCCCACCCACAAAAACTTTCGTCTGTTATCGGCGAATGTTGTTGGTGTGCCTCCTTCACACCTATGATCATAGCCGCGCAGGCTTACATACGTCCCGCTTTTTTGCTTTTTTCAGGCACCGGCTGCAGAATGGTCGTCGACCACTTCTCGCGGCCTGACCCTGCTCTCAACCTGGAGGACCCGGGCTGGCGAGCTGTCTTACGAGCAGCCAGAGACAACGACAACATCGACATGAAGATCACGGGGACGTACAGGCTCGGCGTCTGCCCGGAGATTCTCGCCGGGATGGCACAAATCGCGAGGGAGAGCTTTGGGATCGAGCGTCTCCTCCGGGGCTCGTCGACTACCCCCACACCGGGTGCGCCGGCCCGGAGATGCGCTACTGCGAGGACAGCCAGGACTTCGCGGCGCTGCTGCAGACTGTTCGCGACGGGTACCCCGACGAGGAGGATCAGAAGAGAGTGCTCTACTCCAACGCCGCCAGGGTGTTCTCGTTCCCGTCGCTGAAGTGTTGAAAGGACCGGGTTGTTGGGTTGCCGGGTGAGGGGGAGGGGCCCACAGGAGTATTTGTTAATTAATATGGTCCGTTCGGGCAAATATTCACAGTATTTTCCCCTGCACAAAGGTGCACTTTTCCCGGGGTGGGGGTACTTATTCCGAAATCTGAAAATACCGCGTAAATCGACGTTTCAAGGCGCATCTTCGTACGGAGTTTTTTTTTTTTTTCGTCCTTCGCTCGATATGTTCAGATATTCAAGAAATCTTGCTTACTTTCTGGAGGGCGGTATTTTTTGCAGAGACAAAATCTGAGACCGGATTTGGACAGCTCTCGTGATTTGCCACCAATGATTTTTTTCCGATTTCCAATTTGACAAAAAATAACGGAGTTATGGGCAAAAAACCGGATATTGGAGGGTGTTTTGCTTGGTTTCTTGGGGACAATCCAACCGTACGATTCAAAAATAAAGTGCTGCAATCGATTCCTCTCGTGATTTCCCACCGATGATTTTTTTCCGATTTCAAAAAAAAACTCGGGTTTCGGAGATATTTCGGGTGGTTTCACACGCCCTCGGGGAATTTTTTCCCGCCACACGCACACCAGAGGACACACACACACACCCTTTACGCACGCAACGAAAGACGCACACGCGCTCCGGGCACATGGGTCGCCCAAAGGGTAAGCGCAAGCTGCCAAGGAACGCCGACGGCACGATTCGGAAGGCCCCTTCGCCCCCTGCGGACCCTGCTGTAGGCAACGACTCTCCTCCCTCTTCCGACCATGAAGGCGCCAATATTTCTCCCATGCACACCAACGACCACGACGACGACTGGCCCCACCGCCGTTCTCATCGGCCTGTCGAAAGGAGGAAAGCAGCTGCTCATGAAGATGGGGCTATGGAAAGGCGAGCCAACCCTACGCGTTCAAGAGTGCAGCGCGTGCAGGGCGGAAAAGGCGGCAACAAGGCAAGCCATTACCGCCTTCAACCGCGGTGGAGAGGGGCGGCAGCAGGTGGTGGACAACACGGGGCAGGGAGAGGAGGACGGCGGAGAGGACGGGGACTCGGGTGGGAGCGGGGCAGCTGGTGAAGCAGGCAAGAGGCGTCGCTGCTGCGTCGTGCGCGTTCTGTCTGAGCTCAAGGCGTTCAGGGAGGAGCTCAACATGGTTGAGAAGCTCTTCAAGGCACACGGGCACCTGTGCATCTTCTTGCCGAAGTACCACCCAGAGCTCAACGCAATCGAGCGATACTGGGGGTACATCAAGCACCTCCTCCGCCTCCACTGCGAGTATTCCCTTCGCCACATGCTCCAGGTCTTGCCCGGCGCGTTGAGCGGCGTACCCGCACGGTTTATCCGCGCATGGAGCAGGGTGACGTGGCTGTACATCGAAGCCTACGACGAGGGCCTGGAGGACTACCTCGAGTACCGCGATCTCAAGGAGTGGGGGAAGCACCGAGAAGCCACCGCCAGGGGAGATGCCGTGATTCAGGCGAGGGGGGCGGGGAAGACGCCGGAGCAGAAGAAGGCAGCCGAGGCGAAGGCGCTTGCGGCTGCGCAGGAAGTGCGCAAGAAGTCGATGGCAGCGACCAGGGAAGCCTTCAACACGTGGACGAGCAAGAGAGCCTCCCGGAAGGAGCAGCTACGGCTGTGGATTTTGCGCAACACGATGAATTTTTTGAGGAAATGGTTGGGCGGGCACGCTCAGGCGTGGGTGGGGAGGGTACGCATCTATATGTCGCGGTGTGTTGTAGTGTTGGTTTCTCGCGTTTAGGCGCGGTAGAGGCGTTCGTCATGGTCACCAACTCAACGCTATAGCTGTCTCTCTTGGTATCGGACTTGCTTAGAGAGAACGGATGTGATTGCTCCATGCTTTGTTTGCAGCACCTTCACCAGCCAGGGGTTGAGTAGAAAGTAAACGGCGGTATTATATGTATGTATGTACATATGTAACGTGTAAAATATGTAAATATGGATTGACAACGGTTTAACTGATGTTCTGAAGGCATTTACATGTAGAAGGGAGGGGTTGAGGGGGGGTCGTGGTGTACTTTGGGGGCTCCGTGGGTCATTTTGGTCAAAAATGTCGCATTTCACCGGATCACCAAAACTCATCGGATATCGACGAAGCTCGACGCCGCGGTCACGCCCAAACAAAGTTGTTTCACTTTCCAAATCGTTTTTTTCGAAAGATATCGCGAAAAACAAGATTGTGAATATTTGCCCGAACGGACCATACATAGTAGTGCAGGTTGAGTCTATAGTCTAGACTATTTATTATTTAGTGCCCGTTTAGTGCCGGGTGGCCTGAGTGGTGCCGATGAAGCTGGCTCGGCAGGGACCGACTCCGTAGCGATGCCGCCCGCACGGACTGCCTACTTGTATATGGCCGATTTTGACACTGCGGCCACATGGTGTGGTGTGTTTGGTGTTGGGTGCTGTTTTTTTGTGTTTGGTTTGAATTGTTGTGTGTGGAGCGAACAGAATAAACGACAGTGAGTGGCGGGAAGGAGGGGGGGGATGCACGGGGAACAATGAAAGGCAAAAAATGCAAAAATTGCGTCCTGTGGGTTCTCCTTGCAGCCTAATCTGGTTCAAAGTAGAGTAACCTTGGCGGTACTATGTACCACGTCAAAGTGTCATATTATGGGGACTGGTGCAAATTGAGATTTTCTCCGGTATCTAACTAGACGCGGTTGGCTTCCTCGTCTTCTTGACAGCCATAAGCGGCAAGCAAGCAGTCGCGCAGTTCAGCATTACCCTTATCCCGCAATTTCTTCAAGGAAATGCTGCTCCATAAGTTTGGTCGCTGCCAAGACCGCTCAACGCCGGTCCGGTGTCCATGATTTCGACACATCAACGTAGACTGCAAGTCACTACCAGGATTGAACCAGGGGATGTACCTCTGTCTTTGGCTTATGATGTTGAATTCCACTTCATTTCTGCCCCAGATAGCGTGCGTGTAGAAGGGAGCGGAGGGCTCCACCCTGCTGTCTTGATTTACTTTTGCTTGCGGACCCTTCGGGTCCATTTGAGTATAGCCTCAATAGGTAAGTTAGTCTGTGACCATGGGAATCGCTCGATAAAGTGTTTAATCAGTACGGAGAGAAAACGGTACTGGGTAGAGAGATTTTCATCGTGAAGACACCAACAGCAAACCTTCGAAGGTCTAGGTCTCGGATTCATCCCCAGCGAGAGTGACATGTTATCGGGTTTTTTGCGTGTGAGCTATGCATGCACGTAATTTAGGCCTTGTAGATAATACAGTGTTGGGTGTGGTTTGTTTTCGCTTGGGAATTTTACTCAGTATTTTTCAGTGTTGGGGACGCAATACCATTCTTCGCGCCAACGTTTTTGCAACTGGCGTTGGCTTGTGGAATGGGGAGATGAGTCCTCACAGGATATGTACGTGGGCAGAAGTGACGCTGAATGGTTGAAGGACGGCAGCAGTATGTCGGGGGCTGTGCCATCTCTCGCGTGTGCACGGTACTTGACACAGCTTTGGGTCGGCTTTGCGATGCGTCTTGCCGTCGCTACTTGTATGCTTTGTAGAGACGAGCGCGTTCACTCCCCCGGTGACCTGCGCGATCTTGCGCACGTCTAACAGGGGCTGCGGAACTGCATCAGGACAGCTTTTGCGGGAGGTGGGGGGAGCTAGTTGCGACAGAGCTACACTATTACTGCTTATGCAACATGAAAACATTATACGTGGACGAAGGCTGCTGGTTTTCCTTAAAAACACGATATTGTGGCGTGCAATACCCACGACAATTTCGTGATTTCTTAAAAGTTTTCTCTGCAAGGAAAGCCAGCGCAGAAACCAACATGCACTTGCGTGTCAACCTGAAAATATTCATGCCGGCCGGGATTTCTGGTAGTGTACTCTGTGCGATGCGCTTTAGATGTAAGCGCGCCTCCTGATCTTACGCTGCTGGGAACATGCCACGCCACGTTGTGCTGCTTGCCGTGCCGTGCACCATCACAGGATGTAATATGGTATGGAACAGCTGTTATCCAGGCTTTGACGCTTTTTCGCAACTGCAGAATGCACGGTGCACAGCTTCAGCAGACACTAGGGTACAGATCAGCACAAAACCGTTGCTTGTGCACACACTGCTGTTACAGCTACATACATTCACAGCGGCCTTCCTCCTCACAAGACACCTAACCCGAACCCCTCAGACAAACCCCAACCCCAGCCCTAGGACGAACCCGAACCCCTGAGACAAGCCCCAATCTTTGTGAATGGAGAGTGCCAAGGGGAACCTGATTCCCAACGTATGCGTCGATTGATTTTTACCAGAATCGGCACAAGACACAGAAACCCCCAACACCACCACATCATGCGTTAGCCGCCACCGGCGGCGGCACGGACACGAGCATTGCCCTTGAAGTTGTCCACGGTCCGCCCCCCGCGGGCGGCGGCGCCTCCAGCACGGCCGCGCCCATCTCCCCGAGACCTTCCAGTAGCTCTCGCAGGTTCACGGCCAGCTGCGCGACCTCGGGGCCGTTGTCCACCATCAGCTGGAAAATATCGGGGGGGGGGGGG